AGACGCTGTAGTACATATGCCAGGCCTGTAAGTGGCGCTGTAGTCTGCCACAAAAGCAGCGAAGAAGACTTCACTTGCATGGTTGCTATGGTTGCCCTTCTGTTTATTCTCCGCTGTGGCTCTTTTTCTCCCTCCCCGAGGCAAGCGTTTGCGCCTCCTGCTTTAAAACAAATGAATAATGACTCTATATAATCATATGTAAGGGAGAATGTGGAGCGTCGCGGTCATTATGGGGAAAAGAACACAGACAGGCTGATCAGGAGCCTGACGCGAAGCCCCGCATAGAATATAGCAATTACAACAAATAATAAATAGAGTCAATATTCAAAACAAATATATTCATTTTCTTCTTGTCAGAGTTCATAGATGAGATTCATCTTGAGTTCATAAAAAAACAAATTAAAAATCGATTTTTCTAGCTACAGCCAGTAGTAGTAGTCCACTTAATCTCCAGCTTCCAGGAGCAAACAGAGTTTGTTGACAGGCCTCTGTAAAACACTAGTTTTTGTTTTAACTAGAACACTTCGGACAAGCCCTTTACTTCCTGGCAGTGTCTTCAGAATCCGTCCTACCACCCAGGAGTTTCTGGGAGCCGAATCGTCCACAAGAACAACGAGATCTCCAGGAAGAAAGTTCCTTCTGATCTTATTCCATTTATTTCGCTGTTGCATTGTTGGAAGATATTCTCTGACCCATCTCTTCCGGAAAAGATCAGCCAGATATTGTTCATGTCTCCATTTTCTTCTTGAGTACAGGTCCTCCTTCACGAAGAGTCCAGGTGGCATAACAGGATTAGTTGGTTGATTTGCTGTTTGGAGTAGGATGTAGTAGCTTTTGGGATGGCTCCTATCCACTGGTTTCTTTTGACCCATTGTTTGCAGGAGAATTGTATTCTTCCGCCCTGTTGTATTCAGCCGTCGCATCAGATGTTCTGTGCAAAAGGTTGATGTGCTGCCAGGATCAAGAAAGGCATATGTATAGTTTTGCTGCCTTTGGAAACTTCTATTTGCAATCTTTTCCAGCCCCGATGTCCTCTTCTTTATCCAGAACGACAGGAGTTCCACTGACTGATCGTTTAGTCCAATTAGTCATGTGGTCGTTTTCATTCTCTGTTGGTTTATCAATGTGTAGAATGCTAGGGTGCCTTCCTTGGCAGTGTAGGCATGTACTCCTTTTCCTACACGCTTTGCTCACGTGTCCCCTGGTTAGACATCAGGCATATGCATTGTTCCTTCAATAGTTGCACCTTTACATCACGTGGTTGCAGCTTTAACATTTCACATTCATTCAGCGAGTGCTTGCCTTTCTTGCAAATGCAACAATTACCATCCCACCTATTTGTAACCAGGCTTTCAGGTCGTTAACAGCTTTTTGGACTTGCAGTGTTACAGTTCCTCGTTTCTATTGCCATGGCAAAGCTACTACTTTTACCTCGTTGGTTGATTTGCTGTTTGGAGTAGGATGTAGTAGCTTTTGGGATGGCTCTCTGGGATGGCATAACATCATGAATATTACCAAAGAGCGGATCTTGCAGAATGCTGGCTTGCTTCTCTATAAACATAACAAGATCAGAAAATGTGGCCCTTCTTTGGTTTCGTTCCAGAAGCTCGAATGCTGTATTTCTCCACTTTTCCTTCAGCTTGTATGGCAGTTTTGACACAATGAGTTTTAAAGTAGATGCAAGATCCAGTTCTTCCATGCTTTTTAGTTCCTTCATAGCATTGCAGCATCCTCTCAGGTAAAGGGCATAGGCATGTAATGCTTTCCCATCATCAGGTTTAATCATGCTCCATTTGAGAGCTTTCTCCATTTGGTCATTTGCAATTTTCAATCCATCTCCAAAGTGAGCTTTCAGAAGTCTTCGTGCCTCAGCATAACCTCTCTCTGGTTCCATGTGAAAGCAGCTCCTCACCAGTTCCCTTGGTTGGCCACTAGTGTATTGTTCAAGGTAATAAAGTCTATCATCATCACAACTAGTTTTATTCTCAATGCCATATTTTAAATGCTTGCATGAATGTTTGGAAACTTAAAGGGTCACCATCACATACAGATATTTGTCTGGAGGGAAGTGAGGATTGTTTCTGATGTAACATTTAGTAAATCTGCAATATCATTTTGCCTCTGGATCACAGTTACCAAATCTTTACTATGACTACTAGAGTCTGATTCCTCAGAACTTTCACTCCTTGGTGGCTCTGATGTTCTCGGGCTCAACAGTGGAGCTGGTTCAGAGGGGTCTAATGCAAGTGCAGGTATTTGAGCTCTGGGTTGGCTGTGAAGTGATGTTTTAGCAATGTGGCTTGTTGTCTTAGAATGATTTCTGATATGTGGGATTTTTTTGGGCAGGATTATGGGATTCTTAGCATTTACTGGCATAGCTGATCTGTTAATCCTCCCCCCAACTCCCAGTATACTTTGATCAAGGATTGGGTCCATTTTTAATATAGGGCTGTCTTTTTGGCAGCATTTCCTTTTTTCAAGGAGGTTAATGTCCTGTGCAAAGTGTTTCCTTGGTTCAAATGCAAGTATGGCCATTTCAGCATTGTCCATTTACTCACTGTTCTTGATCCGTCCTTTGTTTACTCGCGGCCCTCCACATGGCTCAACAGCTGATCGTTGCGCTATCCTTACGCTCTGTCCACGGAGTATCCTTCTTCCATTCACAAATCTCAAAAACTGGGATTCCAGTCAGCGATGCGTCTTTAACCTCAGTTATTCCAGCGGTCCGGAGTCTTTGACTATGTCGTGGCCCATTCTTGTGGGATATCTAAAAACTGTGCCACGTCAACAGGGATCCGCTTCTTGACTCACACGTTAAAAACCATCCAAATAAAGCTCTGTAGGCGCTGATTTCTTTGCCTTCCTCGGCCGATTGATTTACTTCCATATATTTAAACAGACAAAATGATCAGTGTAACGTGAGTTCAAAGACTGTTCCGATTCCCCGTTCATTGCTGGAGACAATTTCCTCCTCACGCTCAGTCCCACCCCTTCCTTATATCACAGGTGTGGCTCGCAGTTAATCAAGGTATTTTCTCCGAATATTTAATTCGGTACTAATACATAAATGGAAAGAATATATTAAGATCTAAATTAATAAGAAAATAATACACTCATTGTCAACACAGAAAATGGCTCTAACATTTTATCAATTCTTTTGATCGTTCAATCCGCACTTTAATCCAAACATTGCGTCGTCACAAACATTTCTCTCTGCCAAGATAAAAGGAAACGGAATGGAGCAGTCATCCAACATATATCCACATCCCGATCATCTTTACACATGCGTACAGCTCGCCCACTCTCAGCTCCTGGGTGGCGCTGTGTACTATGTCACATCTTTCCCTGCTCGAGTGGTTACTGGTCAAGGCAGATAAAGGAAACACATGTTTTTCATATTTCACGTCAAATCAAGTGGGGGGTTTTCCATCACCGCTGCTGAGGTTCGAGGTCCGGTTTCTACCAGGCTAATGGTGCTAGCTGCTAGCTGGCTCGCTGTTCTTCCCACATGCCCTACCCCGGAGCCTGCGGTCTTCAGACTCTGGCCCCCCGCACCAACCTGTGAACCTTCGGGGATAGAGCCTTCAGTATGGCAGCCCCCACTCCCTGGAACGCTCTCCCTGCGGAGATCCACAAACACAACATCCCCACACTTGACGCCTTCAAAAGGGCCCTCAAGTCCCATCTGTCTGCCAAGGACTTCGGCCCCAAATCTATTTGTTGTTTTGTCTGACTGCCTTTTGTTATGTTATGTTTGTTATGTTTGTTTATACTCCTGTTCTTCCTTGTAAAGCGACCTTGGGTATTATGAAAGGCGCTATAGAAATCCAAGTTATTATTATTATTATTATCTGCTTACAAGCCTCATTCCTGTCATGCCACTGACGTGTTCTCCAGCAAGCCCTCTGCAACCATAAACACTCTGGCCACACCCAACTACTCCTGTTCTCTTTGTGGGAACATTATCAGTGCACTAGGACTGTTAGAGAGGGGAGCAGCTGAAAGGACGAGTACAAGGAATCAAGGTCAGGAAATAGCACTTCTCAGCATTATGCAATCACCACTCTAACACCGCCTCAGTATGCAGCCTTAATAATCACCACAGAATTGAATCGCAGTATAACCAAAAATAGGACATTATAGGCTTCACAAAGTCAGTGTTGATTGCAAGGTTTTTGCAGCGTATTGCTTTACATTACACAAGGCCATCTGCTGTGAATGTCCACAGTGATCATGGTTTAATAGTTTGCTGTGGTCTCCGTCTGTCCTCACACTGAAGAGGTGAACCATTGTTCACGTTTCTCAATGAGTGTCAGTCACATGGTTAGACCATTCAGTCCCCATGTACTGCTGGCTGACGCTGCATGGAGATTATATTACATTTTGATGAGTTAGGTTCAGAAGTATCTCTAAGCCCCCAAGTCACCCAAGTAAGTGACACATGCATTGAAATCAGCCTGTTTAGCGTGTCTCACAATAAATCATTTTTCATTTTCTTCCTCTTTTCCAAAGCTTATTTTTTAAGACTTTATAATCTGCATTGTTTCCACATGGTTCCCCTATCACAGCCCTCATCTTCCATGCCTTTTGCTGCAATATTGTTACTTGTATTAACACATTATCATCAAAAACTATCAATGAAGATCTGCTTTGTACACATGTTTTATTCATGCACATATTTTCTCAATTGAAAAATGTTCTGGCAGAAAAAAGGTCTGGATTTTGGTGGAAAAAGCCAAATGATATATTTTTAAAAGTGTATGACGATGCTCCATAGCATCCACTTGCATTTAGAGATCAGCAGAAAGCTTTACTGTTTTGAATATTCTTTTAATTTACAGGTCTTGTACAGTCACATTGCACAGAAACCCTGAAACATGGGTTTTGGAAACATGACCTCGGACATTAGTATGCAACAGATGTCCCACGTGTTAACCAACATAGTTTGAATGTCTCTCATCCTATCAAGCCTCTAACGGTCCACTCTCTTGTTGCTGCAGGTTCTGAGCCCATGGTACAAGGCCCTGACTGAACATACTGGTGGGGCATACAGACCTACTACTGTGGTGAGTGATCCCTCTGTCACATATAAACCTGCCTATTCACAGTTAGCTTGATGTTTGTTTCTTAAGTTTGTTGTTCGCTCTTAGAAACAATTCTGATATGTCCCTTAAATCTGTCTCTATCTATCTAGATGACATTAGACTTTTGAAAAATGTCCTTTGTTATGTTATTTGCGAGGTGCTTCTTTGTTACTTTGTCACACATTACTCCTTAAGTGCCAGAATCTTTTGAAACATGTTGCTTGATTTATTGATGGTTTTTGTTTTATTTGCGTGTTTGGGGGAAAATAGAGAAGAAAGAAGTCTTTGTTATAAAACGATTCAGCCCACAGTATTGGTTCACTTCAGCGTGTATGCTGCTCCTCTTCCAGTGTGTGCCCCCATTTGGAAAACACACCACACACGTATTTTAGAAATGTCTCTCTAGTGTGTCCAAAAGAAAGCGTAACATTTGTCCCTGCTTAACCCTGATGCTCGAAGCCTCTTCAGTCCAGAGAGCAGAAGATCGGGTGAATAAATATGCAGAAAGTAAGATTACATTAGAGTTTTAAATTGCGATTGTTATGTTATTTACGAGGTGCTTCTTTGATGTCCTGGGCAGTCGGTGGCTTACACAAGGTTTCCTTTTAGCTTATACCATGTATACATCAAGAAAAACCTATACATGAATATTTGGTATTGCAGATATGATGTCATGCTGGGTATTCAAAAGAATGCACATGGGTGGTTCTCAGGATGTTGAAAACATCGACATACAATGCATTTCAGTACTGATGTTTTACTAAGAGCAGAAGACGAAAAGAAGCACGTTTTCACACCTGTGGTAGATTTGCTATGATCCATATTGATAGTTGAGTTGGTAAAGTTGTTGTTTTAATGTTGGCGTGGTTTGTTTTGAGGTATATATACAATAACGTTGAATATTGCAATAACGTACATTATACATACTAGTGATACGTTAGCAGCAGTGACGTGCGGTGAAGTTCATGGCTGGTGAGGCACTGACTCTTTCAGAGTCAGATTTACAAATATTATATTTTGACTTTTATCGAAATATTCGGTTATTTTCAAAAGCTTTTTTAGTCTGATGCTTCGATTCATTTTAAACAGACTGTTCAACAAAAGGATACCCAAAATCTAAATATTGGATTGTTCTTTCTTAGTAAGATCCCATGTTCATTACAATTGTGGTCTTACCTTCACTTGAAGATGAAGTCCATGCTCTCCTTCTGGACAACAATCTCTAATACTTTTTTGTAAAAGTCCTCCTTATCTTCCTCTAGTTTCAAAAGTCTAGTTTGTTGTTTGCTACCGTCTCTGCGTAGATTAACAGTAGCAACAAGAACCTGTGGGCTCACTTGCGCCCCCTTCAGTGCGGCAGAGGTTATGGCTGCCTCTCCTGGTGCTTTTTTCATTGCCGTTGTATGATGAGACCAGCGAGCTTAAATATCATATATACGTGAAATAAGTTATTTAGAGACTATGGATGGCGAGGATAAATGTAATAAAGGGATCTACAAACATTACATTGGTGACATACAGTGAGATGGTGCAGGCATGCGCTTAGGGCCCGCTTTCCAGACAGTTTCTGTGGGGTGACGCATTCTGAGGTGAGCCAGAGCTCATCTGTGCCTCACCTCACCACACAGTAACTGGCTTGAGCGCGCTCACAAAATAAGTGCTCGTGCTACATTAGTGCCCGCGCTCCAGCCAGTTACTGTGGGCTTACGTGAGGCAGAGCTCGTCCCTGGCTCACTTCTCATCGCTACCCGTAGTTGTAGCGGAGCTCGGCCAATTTGCTGATTTTGACTATAAAAAGCGATTGGAATCATACAGAAATCACATTTACAACACAGATCAGTGGAGACATGTTATTATTATTACTATTTAGTTTTTCTTTAGTTGTTTTTCCGTTACATTGGAGTATGACAGGTGAGGCTCTGTCTCCCCTGACTGCACGTAGCTGGTTAGCAGGTATTGTTATATGCTTAGCTCTGCTTTTCTGTTGCTTTCAGTCTTCTGCCATGTTTTTATCACACAAGTTGACATTGCGATTCAAATTTAAAAAGGAAATGTCGTGCATATTATGTGTATTATCACGCACAAGGATGTAAAAAGGAACATGGTTCTCTACTGCTTCTCCAGTCAGACACATGTATTCCCTGTTAGCTGCTAGCAGCTGTTGATCCCAGTACGTAGACTGCACCTGGCTAATTGCTAGAATACGCCACACAGTTGGTTCAGATCAAGGTTAGAGTCTCTTTAACACAAAAGCGTCATTGTTGGTGCCATTCGAACCACATTTCCCATTAACCCCGTTGCTTCCTGTATCCCCATTCTCTCCCTATAAACATGTTTGAAGTTTATTTTTTGCTTTTGTACCCGTCCATGATTGGGAGAAAGTTTGAAAGCCGCAGTTTGATTCTCATTAGAAGAGCAGTGCACACTTCCTGTTTTCAACCGTTAAAGGATCCAGCAGACTTCCTGTGAACTCTGCACAGTAGTTCAGTGTACAATGCAGGAAAGCCCCCACAGAAGCTACCAGTCTCCATGGCGATGCTCATGTTTATTTACACTTGGACAGCCAAGGTCTTTCTGCCTGACTTAGTGACATTGCTCACTTGGTTTTCTGGTTGAAGCAAGATGTTTTTCTGTGACACTGACGCTGCTGCTCCCCCCCATTTGGCAGCAGGCTTTGTTAACGTCAGCCATATGGAAGGCTTTGTTCTCCTCACTGTAGAGTCTCAGCTCTGCTTTGTTTATTTCATTCATGATGCTTTAAGTCAGCGCTGTGTTCTCAGTCACCCAGTGTGTACTTCACATGCATAGCCTATAAGCACTAGTTCTCACTTTCATAACAGAAGAGAAACTAAGAATGAAGTAATGTCTGCGTAAAGCACGGGAAGTGAATACTGAACTATTTGGAGTCATTTTTCATTGCGGTCATCTTTCTGATACTATGACTATTTGATAGACCATTTAAGCATCTTTATTCTCATTTTCATTGAAAAATATTTCTAAATGATCATGATGAAATGTTTTTGTACCAACGATTTTCTGTATGGTAATATGCAGAATCTGGATTTGTAGGCTTGATCTCTGCACAGCCACAATCAGGGTTGGGAGGGTTACTTTGTAAATGTAATCAGTTACTGATTACTGATGACATGGCTCTGAAAGTAATCCGAATACAGTTACAGTTACGTGTCTTAAAAAAGTAACGTAATCAGATTACTTTTAGATTACTTTTGGATGACTTTCTTTTTCCATCACAGATGGGTATGTTTTGGTGAACAGGAGACACAAAAAGCAAAAGGAAACTGAACGTGTTTTACTGTTTTAATGGCTTATCAAGAGCACAACTGAAACATAACATCTGAAACGATGTAACAACATAATAAACTCTTTGGGGATGCAGCTTGGGATGTGAGGAGTGAGGACATGGCTTAGAACGGGCGCAAAAAAAAAAAAAAAGTTTTAATTTTGTATAATCATTTTGTATAACCATTTTGCGTAAAGATGGCACTCAAGGGCACACTAGTGGTGGTGTTCTTGGCGGGATTTGAACTCACAGCCTTCCGATCTTCAGCCCACCTCACTATCCATTAGACCAATCACTACCCTCTCAAATGGAAATATGTGTTTACATTAGAGATGTTAAGATTCACCGATTCGCATCGGTGCACCGGCATAAACGTTCAAGATGCGAGTGCACCGGTTGAAAGAGTGCACATCGGCTACAGTTTGGGTTGAACCGGGTTGAACTCGCAATGCATCGATGGCGTAGCGTCTTTGCATCGGTAAAAAACCGATTCATTCATATAAAATCCCCTCATCTTGTCAACGCTCAGCAGAGACGATCTTTGATATTTGCTTCGCCACTACGGAGGCCGAGAGTCTCAGTTATCAACACACACGGAAGTTGAGGAGAAAGAGAAACACAGCGCACTGAAAAATACCTACATATCAAACGTTTGGCAACACTTCGGATTGTTCAAGAAAGACGGTGTAATAGTCCTTTATGCTATATAGTTGACCGCAGGTCATGGAGAGTAATAAGGTATCCGTAGACCTTTGTATGAGGTATCTTTATTACTTAACAGGTCTACAGCCATGATACATAGATCCGTCCTAGATGCGGGCTTGTATACACACAGTATCACTCCGCAGCCGCACCCCATCAGTAACGTCCTGATGGTATATGTGCACGGCACAGACGGTCAACTTGAAAAATCGCTCGCAAATTGTTAACGATGCCGAGCCGCTTTAAAGTACACAAGTAGTACGAGGAACTTAGCGACGCACATAAAGACGCACATGGGGTCTGCGGCTGAAAAGAGAAACCTGAAAGTTAGACATATGAGTTAAATCACTCAGTGAGGTGTTCTGTCAGAGAGAGTGGTGTTTAGTTTACAGCAGCCTGTGACGGCCAATAATAGTTTAAATGTCTTCCTTACTGTAAGCAGTTATGAAATACCTGTTTGTGAAAGGTTATTTTCTTTATTGTTCATATAGAACCCACTGCTTTCTGCTCACTGGTGAGTTAGCCTATGAATGAGTGTTAAGCACATCAGGCAGCAGCTGTATGGGCATTGCACTATGGTAGCTGTTATTTGCACATTGTTAATCATGAGCAATGCATCCTTAAATTGTTTAACTGTGAGGTGTTATAGAATTGTACTCTGGAGAGCTTTTAAAGGCAAAAAAATAAACGGCATGATGGGATGTGCAGTACCAAATATATAAAGCACTTTTTTGTTAATGTATGATTTGCTGCATATAAGGAATAAAACAAAAATCCTCTGTCATACCATATTGAAGTATTATTTTTGCATCGTGTTGAATCGTATCGCACCGAATCGCATAATGTTGAATCAAATCGTATCGAACTGTATCGCAACAGGGGTGAATCGTATCGTATCGCATCGCCTGGTGTTTCAAATGTATCGTTAATGTATCGTATCGTGGCAACGTATCGAGATGCGCATCGCATCGGCCTCAGT